ATTTTACCTTGTAAATATTCCATCAACTAGTTACAAAATTCTTATCCCTGATACTATTTTTACATGTATTTTACCTTGTAAATATTCCATCAACTAGTTACAAAATTCTTATCCCTGATACTATTTTTACATGTATTTTACCTTGTAAATATTCCACCAACTAGTTAGAAAATTCTTATCCCTGATACCATTTTACATGTATTTTACCTTGTAAATATTCCACCAACTAGTTAGAAAATTCTTATCCCTGATACCATTTTTACATGTATTTTACCTTGTAAGTATTCCAAGACTAGTTACAAAATTCTTATCCCTAGATACCATTTTTACATGTATTTTACCTTGTAAGTATTCCAAGACTAGTTACAAAATTCTTATCCCTGATACCATTTTACATGTATTTTACCTTGTAAGTATTCCAAGAACTAGTTACAAAATTCTTATCCCTGATACCATTTTTACATGTATTTTTACCTTGTAAATATTCCACCAACTAGTTACAAAATTCTTATCCCTGATACCATTTTTACATGTATTTTACCTTGCAAGTATTCCAAGACTAGTTACAAAATTCTTAACCCTGCTACCATCTTTCTATGTATTTTTAACTTGTAAATATTCCATCAACTAGTTACAAAATTCTTATCCCTGATACCATTTTTACATGTATTTTTACCTTGTAAATATTCCATCAACTGGAGAGATGGTAACTGATTCTGCTGGTACATATGAGCCAATATGAGCAAGAATCGTTATCAATGCAACTTGTTTGATATACGAGCTTTTTCCACCCATGTTAGGTCCAGTAATGATCATACACCGTTTCTCTGACTTAAGAAGAAGAAAAAAAGCATTTGGTCAAAACTTGTATATTTACTTTTGACATTAAACATTGTCACAGCCTAAACTACAAATCTATATTGCTTTTTTTTCTCTATCTCAGATGTTTTAATTGCTGATGTATAGTAACGAGCCACAATTATTATATGATCAATTAATGTATACATTCATGATGTTAGGAAAAGATATAGATTCAAAACACCAATTAAAGACGAAAATAAGAAACCCCATAGCCTGAGCACTTTCAAAAGATGGACCTTTCTTCATCAGAGGCAAACTGTGAATGACTAAGTAAAGTGACATGCGAGACACCATGGTACCCCACCGGGACAAACCCAAAGTGTTTTGATTAGCTTTCAAAGGATTGTTGCAGGTGTGAAACTATATTGAGTATTTATGAGGTAAATAAAGATGTGATACAAAGATCAACTGACAAGAAAATTGAAGTAGATAGAACTGAAAAAACATAAAAGGAAAATTATCAAACATAATAAGTTTAAAATGTTTATGGGTAAAATAAATTATTTATACCAAAAACTCTTATTTGCCAGACAAAGAACTAATTAATGGTCAAAGATCACTGATTTCAGGATCTCGGTTTATTCCTCTAGGATGAACATTATATAAATAGGCAATCCATTAGACTTCTTTCATTTTTCTACCAGTTTTAAAACCAGTTTCAATACCTATGAAAATCACATCATTAATAGAGTGATCGGGATTGGTTGAAGTGTAAAACAACATGGTGTCTTTTTTTGTGTTAATAAAATATTTAAAGTTGATGAAACACTAAGAGTAACTAAGTGGTGTTGTGAGTTGTGCAAGTAAGTTTAAAGTAGTTTTCACCATACTTGTCAGAAAAAGAGTCAGTAGTTCCTATGAACTTGCAGGTTAGACAATGAGCTTTATTACATGGATGAGAACCATTCTGTGCTGTTCTAGAAGGATACAATGGGAACTTCAGAAAAAATGTCTCAGGCAATCATTCAATTGTAGTAAATGAAAATGTTTTTTCTTTTTTCAGAACATGTGAAACTGAACCTATTAAGTGTATCTAAAAGCAAGATAAATATACAAAAATATACAGCCCATGACTCCAGTAGATTCATTTCATCTCAGACCTCCAGGGATGCAGTGGAAAGAGATTCTTTCAAAGATAGCTTTTGAATGACAGCTATTTCCTGTGTCAGCTTGCACTTGGTGGTAGTAAGCTCCAGAGAAGTTCATCAGTAACCCTGGAGTCCTCCATTTTTGGTCCCAGTAAAAGCTTTCTGCTGAAAGGGTGTTGGCAAATGTAATATTCAAATGCATTGCTTTTGCTTGCCATGAACACATAACTGCTTTCAAGTCTAATAATTGTTCATTGGGGACTATTCTGATAGGTCCTATCAAGGTGATTGTCACCGGAAAACCTGTTCTTAGAAACAGTGGAAGTGGTCTATGAAGAGTCTACTAATTCAGCCTTCACTATTGAACAAAAGGTCTTGGATAAATTCTTAAGTACTCTGGTAGTAAACCTACCATTTGAGGCTCTGTTACAGCTGGAGCGAAGCCAAAATCTCAGTCTGATGGCATCTTTGTTATTGGCACCCCTCCATGCAGGTAAAACCTTGATGGTTGTTTTGTCTTTGACTGCTTTGTCACATTATCATCTGCAGTGGACGGTTGCAGATTTCTTCTGTTCCAGTATGTTGGTTGAAGTGACCACCAACACAGTCAGAGATATAGTCTCTAATGACCAAGTGGAGTGACATCAACTTATTAGAAAGTCCCCCTACAAATATTCTGACCAGAATAAACTGCCATCATGCCAGAGTACACTTTACAATGTGTCATAGGCCTTCAGTGCAGGCCACTACATTTTTGTGAGTACCATGTTTACCAATCTTTAATTTCTCCTGTTAAATTATTCTCTATGAAGTTTAAGTACTTATTTAAATCCATAACAGTGGCTTCCCAACTGCAGAGGAGATCAGATTTTAAGTAATCCACAGCATGTAGGAGTATCTAGACTAATTGCCGATACTGTGCCGTTTGTTTCTGGGTCAAGAAATTCCATGTGAATACCTTGCAAAGCTGCTTAAGAAAATGGTCTGAATATTCATTTGTTTCACCTTGCTACTTTTAGCCAATCGTAGCAAAGACAGCCTTTCATCATTTAGGTCATTTGGCAGGAATAATTGTGAAGAGAGTATTAACTCTGTCAGCACGGACTCGGTCCATGGGACTGACCTCATAAGTATTTTGTGCTTGTTATAGATTTCATGTTATAACTTAAATTAGTAAGCAAATGTTAATGAAATTTGGCAGATTATCAGTAAATATTACAATGCTTTCATACGCAAAATATCAAATATTTTTTATTTAGTCTTAAGGTTTGTAAAGCAAAGTTTTTCTCATACCATTTTTTTCTTTTCACATGTTGCCTATCTAACATGCAAAGCAATTTTTATTTTAAGATTAAAATGCTTTTATGCATCAGAATATTTTCAAATTTCACATGTCCAGATAGTTATCAAATGTTTCTTAAGAAAAAACTATATTTTATCTCTTATTTTCAGTAATGATTACCTGTATGGGTTTGGTAGATTTGACCAATCTCGTAACCATCATAAAAAATTAGGAAATAAATATAAATTATGCCTTTTTCATTCTAGAATGAACACAAATTATAACATAGAAAAACATGATTAGACTAAATAGCTTAAATCTCATAACATTATACATTTATTATTTTTATTATATTGATCTTTCAGGCGTGCCTGGCTAACAATACAAAAGTTACAATGACGAGGCTCATGTGCATTCATGTTACC